AATATTAATGAAAAAAAAACCCAATTATTTTGATAAACTTCAATCACAACAAATAATTAATACCATTTTTTTTTACAAATTTATCTTATTTTTACCTTACTATTATTTTATCACCATCATCCTACTGTTGACTTCATTTTATTATGTTTATTATGCATTTATTATTTTTATCTCCATGTGTGCGTGTATGTGTGCCTGCGTGTGCATGTTTTTCTATTTTACCGAGGACCTCAACTTGACAACACACTCATGACCTGACGATCTTTTGCTTTACAGATGACCAAAAACTTGGTCCTCGGAGCACTAGTGCTGCATTGTGCTGGATTTGCGTGTACAACGCGTTTCCATGGTTTCTGTAAATGCCCTCGGGTGGCAGGAAAATTTGAAAATATCTAACGTTACACGCTTTTATTTAAGTGGCGTTGCATAAATAAATAGCGCCCTCTATGCATAAAACGTTGAGCACGTATGTATCAATTCAATTCAATGAATGAAGTGATGGGTGCACATATATCCTGATGAACATTAGTAGAATGGAGACAAGAAATAATAACATAGGCGGTTGACGTTTTTCCAAGATACATAACAGTTTATTTAATAACGAATATTTCGGGAGCGCCTGTTCTTCAGCGTAATGCCCACAGTAGTAGGAAATGCATGAATAATGAAAGAGTTCTAGGCCTATATATGGGCATAGGCCTATATAACTTTCAACTCTTACATAATTTCTCATATTTACCTCTTATAATTTGATATTTAATCAGTACATTAATGTGGTTTATTCTATTTGTATACATATCGGTAGTTTTTAATTATTAAAAAAAAAACTATCATTCTAAATTCCTGCTGTGAAATCATTTTTTGAATTTAAGCAAAAATAAAAGCAAAGCGTCAAATATAATATAGTCGCATTATGTTATATTTTTTTATATTATTTAATACTTTTCTCAAGTGAACAGTAAACAAGTGAGCATTTCATTGAAACGTCTTACAATGCTTTTGGGAAAACACAGAAAATTTGACTGAGCGTGAGAACGAAATTAAATATCTCGAATTTGCATTAGAATTTGGTATAGCATGGTCGGAAAACGCTATCTGGTTACTACAGTGCGTAATAAAGATGGAAAAATTAGAACTGCACTATATTCAGAAAACTTTTAAGATCACGGTTAAAAGGGAAAACGAAAAAAAAAAATAACTGAATCTCTCAGACTAGATCGACTAAATCATAATATTATAACACTAAACATTGAAATATCATATAGATTTAATGCAAGGAAGTGTCTGCTTGTTTAATGTGACATTATACTGTATGTCGTCAATAGTTATCAAAATGTGAGTGGAATCCAATCATCAATCATCGTCATCATTATCTTTATATTGTTATGATTAATACATTATTTTTATTGTGTAGGCCTAAATTGGCAATAGCTGTCCTAATACCAAGTGACGTAGGAGAAGAATGGTGACAAACACTGTCATAATAACAGTTCCAAGAGATCAAATCACACAATTGTTCTTTTCTCATAATCGATCAATTCGTACTTCTACTATTTAATTTTGTATCGGTTTTATTTGTATGAAAATCACCGATGGACCTGGAAAACATCCCAGATTAGTATTATATCATCTATATGATTAAACTGCATTTACATCTGTAAAGTAACTTGCAAACAATGTAATATATGACAGGTACTGATTATTGGTAACGTATTGGAGCTTGAAATAGATGGTTGTGCTGGTAATATGCGGTAATTTCTTTGTTTTGTAAGCTAAAGTAGCATAATTTAGCTAATGACAACGGGAATTCCTTTCTACGCATGGTTGAGCACAAAACCAATTGAGTACGTATTATAGTAGTAATAGCTGGTGGCGCTTTTTGACCTTAAACTGAACATTGTCTGGAATCAACGTTCAGGTGGGTTATAACCAACTTTAACATTCAGTGCCCGACGATTCACAGTGATATTTAAGGACAATATATTTGGTGAGTATCAGAACTAAACCTGTGGCTGATAATTAAACACCATAATTTAAAATAGGCCTACATTCAATATTATTACGCTATGTAATTTCTATGTTAGTATATTTTTGGCGGCCTAGTCGGTTAATCCTAAGTAGACCTATCGACTTTGTAACACCGTTTTCGCCACCTTCTATGTTCAATTTTCGTTTAATTTTTACGAAACAATAGCATTATATGCCTATGATGATACAGTAGGTAGTAATGGCTAGGACTGGCTAAGCGAGCCCAATTTTTAATCTGTAATTTGAGACGAATGTAATTGCGAGGTAGAATATGATAGGTCTACTTTTCACCAAATACTTAAATTGATTTTAAGTTGTTAGCTTTATTTGAGGCCAGATTTGTAGGATTTTTTTGTTTTTATATTATTTTTTAAAAGCCAAATTTGTTACGGTACTCGATAACTCAAGTTCTATAAAGCACTTTTTTGGGGCCGTTGGAAGGCCGTAAAGAACATTTTAAATGTTTCTCCGCCCCAAATTTGAAAATATCTTTCTTTCCATCCTGTTTGTAGAGACGTCAGATTTTTTTTTTCGCAAAAGATGCTTCAGATAACCTTTACATTCCCTGTGGCATATATAACATTTCCATTCTAATAAAAAAAAAAAAAAAAATTCTCGCACCTCATTATCGCATTTAAATCATCATTCTCATAAAATTACAACCCATAAAGCGAAATGAATAATTCTATCTTTTGTGACTCGATGGCAGCCTCCTTGGCGATACATGTACCGAGAAGGTATGAATTGGCGATACGTGTAGCAAGAATGCATTAATTGGCGATACGTGTAGCAAGAAGGTATGAACTGGCGATACGTGTAGCAAGAAAGTATGCTGGCGATATATGTAGCAAAACAGTATGAAATGGCGATACGTGTAGCAATGAATGTATGAAATGGCTATACATGTAACAAGAAGGAATGAATTGGCGATACATGTATGACGGCTATAAATGTAGCAAGAAGGTATCAATTGGCGATATATATGTATAAAGAAGGTATAAATGAGTACCGTATTTATCATATAAGAAAGTTTAACACCTGCTGTACCTTGAAGGCTAGCTCAGATGATATTTGCGGTACCGGTATCATTTCAAAATCATATAGTGGCACCCCGAGTGGCACACCACAATAACAAAATGCTAATTCTATATTATATGATAATTTAAATAATATATGTTGTGTAGTGACAGTTGGTCGCAATCGTGTACTAATAGAAACACAGAATTACTGTATTTGAAAAATAATACTGTAATGATATTACTTATCTTAGTGAGATTCAATGATTTGCTGAATTAGGTTCATGTACTTATAAATAAGGAGGCGATCAGTGGCCTATTTGATCACTTAAACAAAACAAAAATTAGCCGTAGTTAAACGTTTGTTGGAATTACTTGACAAATAGACCTTCGATTTTATATAGGCTGGTCCTATATCTGATAGGCCTACTTTACAACAATCGGATCTGGAGATACGCATGTTGTAAACTTTGCCTCACTTGGACAACTTATTATTGAGATTTGCGTATGTAGGCCTACTAAACTTTGCCACTCTCGAACCACTTACTGTTGGGATTTGTCCATGTTTCAAACTCTTCCACACTTGAATCACTTATTGTTCGGATTTGCACATGTCCAAAACATTGCCACATTTGGACCATTTCTTGTTAGGATTTGCGCATGTCCTAAACTTTGCCACACTTGGACCATTTCTTGTTAGGATTTGCGCATTTCCTAAACTTTGTCACACTTGGACCGGACCATTTCTTGTTAGGATTTGCGCATGTTCTAAACTTTGCCACACTTGGACCATTTCTTGTTAGGATTTGCGCATGTCCTAAACTTTGTCACACTTGGACCATTTCTTGTTAGGATTTGCGCATGTCCTAAACTTTGCCACACTTGGACCATTTCTTGTTAGGATTTGCGCATGTCCTAAACATTGCCACATTTGGACCATTTCTTGTTAGGATTTGCGCATGTCCTAAACTTTGTCACACTTAGACCATTTCTTGTTAGGATTTGCGCATGTCCTAAACTTTGCCACACTTGGACCATTTCTTGTTAGGATTTGCGCATGTCCTAAACTTTGTCACACTTGGACCATTTCTTGTTAGGATTTGCGCATGTCCTAAACATTGCCACACTTGGACCATTTCTCGTTAGGATTTGCGCATGTCCTACATTTTGCCACACTCAACCACACATTGTTAGGATTTACACTTTGCCTCTCTCAGACCTTGCTCGGACCAATGTTATCGGACTTCTTGATCACACTCGGACGTACCCAAGGGTTATGCGTATGTCCTACCCTTTGCCACAATTCGTCCTACATGTTGCCACACGAAACGAATTGTGTCGAACTTCACGTTCGTCTAAGATAATCATACACGGACTAACACTGACACTCCTGGTTATTTCATTCAATTTTAATTTGACATCATGGACGTGCATCTTGATGAAGATGATGATGATGATGATGATGATGATGACGGTGATCATGATGGTAAAGTTTGATGAGAAGGGAGAAGATATCGTCAGGTGTGGTAACTAACAAAATATTGGTAAAGGATATGACCGATCTGGCCGTCTGTGGAATTTCATTAAAACAATTCCGAAATAAACATGATCGAATATTCATATTTGAATGACAGTTTTTTTCTTCTTTATCACGGCAGGTCATGTGATGGTTGGTGTCCGTCTACAATCTGTACATCACTTGAAACCGCAGATTTTATTGCCACTATCATAAAGGAATCGATTTCGTCAAATTTCAGTCTTTTTAAAAATATATATATCGCTGTAATTATTCCTACTTGGCGTGGTGCGAATCTTCGCAGGTTGTGAATTCTACTGCATATTCTGTAACTGATTTACAGTGGTCATCCAAGCATTAAAGTAGCGTTTGAAGTGCAGCTTATCGCATAGGAAGACTCGAGAAAATCACTTTTTCTCCCGTATACTCAGCTACACCAAACAACGTTTGAGCGTCATTGTGCGGCCTACAGCAAAGGTGACACAATAATTTTTCTTTGATCATTGGTAAACAGTCGCTCATCTATTCTGTATTCAACTGAATTAGGAGAAGCGCTTCAGTCAATACTAGATGTTTACACAATTGCTTACTCTCCAGTTGACCCGATCGATGCTATTATAAGTGTGATTTCAGCCACTCGGTCCTTCAAAACACCTGTGTGTAAGGAGAATTAAACCAGCAAACATAACGGAAACTAGTCAAGTTAAGCTTGAGTATGTACAACCCGGATTATGTTCAGCTTTGTGAATGTTGATATCATTTTGTACTTCGATAACATCCACGGACAATATGAGGAATTACGTATCGTGTGGTTTGGTGATATTTTCAACGTGGTTAGACTATGTACTCGGTGATTTTTCAGGACAGAAGAATCCCGCTACAGAGCCTGGTTATAAAAACAGTTACCATGGAATAATACAAAATAAAATGATAATAGAATCAGTATTTATTTGTATACTCGCTTCAACAGTGTTCATTGGACTTGTTATGTGGGTGATAAAAACTAATTTCGATGAGAACCAACAGTCGAAAATGCGACGGGAAGCGTCTATACGGGAACGACAAAACTCCAATGCACATCAAGTTTAGCTACTAATTGCGAAGCTGACTGGGACACAAACCACCAACAGCTTGACAAAATACAAATTACATATTTTTATTGATTTGTTACACAAGTTCGTTACTATATGATATGTATATATTGGTTGGGCTGCCTGTTATCTCAACGTTACATTTTGCTAAACATGTTCAACAGTTCGTTTGTTTATCTTTGCCATATATGGCCCATCTTTACTTTTATGTTTGCTATATATGGTCCGTCATTATATTTGATGGAGGTTCATTTCGAGCAAGGTTTTTATTAATGTTTTGCTGCTGTTTTTATGCCTGAATTTTAGTCAAATTTTTGATCTGTAAAAGTTGTATCACCGCGCACGTTGCTCTGAGTTAACAATTGACAATTTTTTTTACTGCAACCAGTGTACCTACATAACCTTGTTAATATATATATGCTTACCTAATCAGTTCATTATTTCACTGCTAGTTGCTTTTAGAGTTTGTATTCGCTAGTCGACAGTTCGAATAAGATGCAAGCAAACGAGATCGTAATAATACAGAATGATATGCATTAATCAACATACCGAATGTGAGATAACATTCGTGAATGTTTCACGAGGAGAACATACTCTCAATTCTTAAAATCAAAACAAGTCTTCCATGTGTTATATTCGTCGTTTGATACTATTTGTGCGTACACAGACTAAACAGTAAATCTAATAACCGTCTTTATGTTCGATGGCACAGCGCTGCCTTGCAGTGGTGCCATGTGGTGTCGAGAACTACCTGTACTACTATTCTACTATAGCAGGGGAATTGTCTCGTCGTGTATAGGCATTGAATTGATGTCATCCAGTGTTGCTTTCTATGCGTTACATTTGAATTTATCAGTGAATATATGAAATTTTAAAAATGCTAAGGGTTATTGGTCACAATGGAATTTACTAAAACGTATCATATTCTTTATTAAACACTAACAGCAAGAAATTCTTATCTATTTCATAACGAATTTCTTGGGAGTTGTTATAAAAAAAATTGAGGCCTTGTTTTGCTCCCCCAAATCACATTCCTATTGACTAGATCTAGGAATACAACATAATATGTATGTATTCATTCCGTTTATCGTAGTAAAGAATGGTGTAATTATCATCATTAATAATTCTCCAAAGCTCATTTTTCATTCGCCACTCACTGCTTACTGAACAGAGCGTGACCAAAGAAGAAATACTGATACAGGATGAGAATTTTAATGAAAATATATATATATATAATAAATGCTGGAATATAGGTCCAATAGCAGCATACCTTTCATAATTACGAAAAAATTCTTCTTTTGGCGAATATTCAAAATGTTGTTTTGATTGGAGTTTAACAATGTTACGCATATTATATCATTTTTTCATTAGTAGGCCCAATTTGTGTATGACTTTGACAGGCTTTGTATAATTATGGAAATTTAGATTTGATGTGGAAGGGTCTGGACGTACGGCTACCGTATCCAGCTATGAATGACTAATGATGCAGGCGATACTGACGATTATCATGATAAAGTTAACGTGCCTCTAATTGGACATTGTGGAAGCCTTTATTTTGACTGTTACAGTATTTGTACTATATCAAGAAGCCTAAAGAACCAAAAGATATGTCGATACATTAGTAACTAAAATGCTGGTTATTATCATCTTTTGCGTATTATTATTATTATTATTATTATTATTATTATTATTATTATTATTATTATTATTATTATTATTATTATTATTATTATATTTCACAGATAATAATTACCTTCGTTGTTAGTAAGGCGATTCTGAGCAATACATTCTTAACAATAATTGAATTGGTATTAAGAAAACATTATATCTCCTTTAGTAAAGGATGTCACTGTAAATGAAAATATTTATAGGTAAGAGAGATTTATGTAAAAAAATGCCAATTTTATGACTTGGATTATCAATTTACCTCGGATAAAATAATGAGGTAGGGAGAGCAATACTATTGTGCCCAAAGTGTACGATGAGTAAAATATAATCAAAATTAGATTTTATCCGCAATTCACTTCGGGTAAAAACCTAATCTTTACCAAGTGTCATTAATCAAACAATTAATTAATTATTTAATAATTAAATTTGCTTGCGATGGTCACTTCACATTATTGATTTACATTTCCCATGCCTTTCTGACTGTTAGGTAATTATTAAACTCATTAAACCTGTAATTATTTCCATTTACGGTACTGTACTACGATATGTAAAGAAAATCCAATAACCTGTGAAATACATTGAAACACGATGTTTACACCGTACGGTATATTTTGACTCATTTTACCCTTCAAAAATATAGGCCTATGAAATTCTTATTTCAGGAATAGATAAAATATGAATAATTTATAATTTTCGGATTAAAGTGTGACACTATTTTTACGATTTTTCTCATGGTTCATTGACTCAATTTTCCGTAAATAATTTGTGTTAAACAAAAGATGTCAGATTGACTTCCTGATTAGAGCTTACCCCAGAATGTATCATTCTACATTTCACTAATTCGCAAGCACTTTCGTTTTTATATTTCTCTTTGATTCTTACTATTTAATACGACTTACTACGTAGTCTATACATACATTATTTAGAAGTATCATTAACTTAGTTTTAAATTTTAATTCTGCAATATTTTATTTTGAATGAGTTTCTCACGGTAAGACTGTTAGACTATAGTCGGCTTACCATTATTTCCGTTATTTTTAAAGTATTAAAACTATAAAAAGTCACAGAATACATACAAGCCTATGTAGCGTACACTCTTTAATTTTAATTTCCAAAATATTAAGACATTTAAGAGGTTTGCAGAATTATTGTAAGAAGAAACTCACTACATTAGACAAGAGTTTAAAGATAAATATTTTTAACATATTGTTTTTGAAAACAAATCCCACAGTTATGTGTAAACGATTGTGTGATATGTTTTCTTAACCTTTTAGAATACCATTAGTGTCGTAATTGCTAAATAAACCTGGGTAAGTTTAAGATGATCAGTCACGCATAAGGTAATAAATAAAACGAAGAAAATAAGCAAGCAATGGCTTTATTAAATCAAAATGGCTGCCAGTTTATGACATATTCATACATACTTTACCTTATCTAATTAGCACACACGATTAATCATTTTGTAACAGCATGATTTGAGAGGCATTCAAGTGACGTGACAATATAAGGAGGTGGGAACGAACCCTAAATGCTAATGTTCTACAATTCACAGTGAAACTATGATGCAAAATCTGCAATGCAATATAAAATGATTTCAGTAAGTGAAATATGACATACACTTTTGATAAAGTGTTTGTTTAGTTTCGCAAAAAAATAATCTACTGCTGTGTATCACCGTTTGGCTCTATTGTAGTAAGCCTATCACAGGTGTCACGCATGCTCAACCAAACCTTGTATATAAACACTCGCATCTGTATTTCGTCCCATTGCGACCTATGTATTTAAATTGAGAAAATAATTAAAAATGATTATATTTTTGATGTATATTTTTACAAGGTGTGGGCTAATTGAGATTTACTGATCCCGTGGGATTGGCATAAGCTGATCATGTGATATTAAGTATTGGCTTTGTTTTCGAAACTAAGAACAGAAGCTTCTACCAGATAAATCCACACTTAATTCCAATATATTATTAAGAAACTCTAATTTTGTTTTGTGGTACTTCTACGAATTGGTTGCTAAACTTGAAAATGTTGCAGTGTGAAATATATTTGAATTGTTGCATTTCCGTTATGGGGTCATCTTATACTTATTGCTAGCTTATAATAATAATAATAATAATAATGAAAATAAAAATAATGATAGTGATGATCATGATGAAGATGATGATGTTGATTGTGGTACGTTGAAGATAACGACAACGATAATAAGAATAATGATGATAAATAATAAATATAATAAAAAGTATTCACTTTCAGATGAGGATAATTTTGATTTACACTAAGTGATTTTGTGTATTTAAATGCTTGGTGGTAGGCCAAAACCTCGTTGAATAATTTCTGTAAAAACCGTGGTAGTTTCATTGTATAACCATGGAGGTTTGTATACCTCCATGGTACAACGAAGGTAGTCACATAATATAATGTATCCTAAAGATTGTCTATGGGTGTAAAAAGCCAACCAATACGATTGGTGCAAAAAATATACTGTCTCTCGCAAACTCTATGAAAAACCCTCACAAACTGAAACATAGAGAATTACTCATTTAAATGGACCAAACAAGTTATCAATTTCCAAAGAGGGAGCCTACACAAAGATATAGGATTAAGGAATGGTAATTTTTGCGTCTGTTAACAGACAAGAAAATATTTTCTCGTAATTTGTAAATTGAAAACTAGTACCACATATAAGCAATTCAATTTATGTATTATTTAAGTTATTTATTAAGCTCAACAGAGACAGTATACCTTTACTAGCGATTGTAATATCTGTGACGTTGGTATATACCAAACAAAAATACTTTTATATTATTAAATTTCTTAAATTCATATGTAATATTAAAGTGAGCTTGCTGTAAGAATTTGAAATTTACATGCCATTCACGTAAACACAGCAACGACATTAACACTATATTAAGTCAAAGAACGCTGTTATTGAATTATTTTACCGTGGAAATAAAATATTATAGCTCCATGCTTTAACTATATATAATTACTTTATTCCGATAAGATCCTACTTTTCTACTGCTAATGGTTGCCTAATTTATTGGCTTATTCTCTAGCTTGATGTGAGTTTAATGCAGTGTTTTCCAGCTTCAATTTAATCTAAAATTACAACCCATTATGTACTCCTCCAAGTATTAAGCAATGGAGCTTTTGGAACAAGATCAGAATTAATATTTATTCGATTATTACCAGAATTATCGTAAGATTTGTGATGGAATATACATAAACATGTGTTTATTCATGGCGGTAACAGGTGATTCATGCTAACGAAAAACATGTACTATAGTGTAAGTAAGAATAAAACTACTTTACATTCAACTTACTCTTTGCTGGTTTGAGTCTTATTGCCTTGTCTTCTAAACATACTTACATCAGTCAAGAAATATAATGGGTTATCCAATTATCTATGCATAAAAAATAAAGTAATATAAATTCGATGTAACCGTCCTATTGACATAGGAAAGAGATGAACACTCAGTCGCTGAAAAACGCTACCAGAAACATCTGACTGGAATTTGAGTTGGCACGGTACTTTGTATCATAACACAAAAACAACAAAGGCATCTTCATCTATGTAATATTCACAAAACCCGAATGACATACACCAACTGCTAGACCGGCAATGATGGTGTTGCTACTGTAGCTGGTGTAGATGATGCTGCTGTTATTGGTAACCCAGCCGCTGGTAATGATGTTGTTGTTGATGCCCCAGTTTGGTGCTGGTGATGTTGTTGGTGGAGGTGCCTCGTTCGGTAAAGATGGTTTGCTGCTGTTAGCGTACCGGTTGGTGCAAATATTGTTCTAGTTGATTCTCAGGCTAGTGCTGATGATGTTGTTGCTGTTGTTGGTGCCCCAGCCGGTGCTGGCGACAATGGCGTATCTAGAAGTCTTGAAACTGTCTCTTATACACATCTAGATGTGTATTGCTGCTATTGCTGCCCTTGTTGCTGCTGACAATTTTGCCACTGGTGGTTTTCCGACTAGTGCTGATGATCTTACCGTGGAATGCCCGGCTGGTACATATGTTGTTGCTGTAGTCGGTGCAGCAGTTTGGTGTAGATCATAGTTACTAACTGTTGCAATGACTGGTAGTGATGATGGTCTAGCTACTGTTCCTGGAGATGTTGCTGTTGTGCCCTGACTGGTACTGATGGTGTTTGCTATTGCTGGTACTCTGGCTGGCGCCGATAGCGTTATTGTTGTTAGTGCCACAGCTGGTTAAGAAGTTGCTGTTGTGCCCTGACTGGTACTGTTGGTGTTTGCTATAGTTGGTACTCTGGCTGGCGCCGATAGCGTTACTGTTGTTAGTGCCACAGCTGGTTAAGATGTTGCTGTTGTGCCCTGACTGGTGCTGTTGGTGTTTGCTATTGTTGGTACTCTGGCTGGCGCCGATAGCTTTACTGTTGTTAGTGCCACAGCTGGTTAAGATGTTGCTGTTGTGCCCTGACTGGTACTGTTGGTGTTTGCTATTGTTGGTACTCTGGCTGGTGCTGATAGTATTGTTGTTGTTAGTGCCACAGCTGGTCACAGGGCCTCCGAGAGCGGCCGCGGGCCCCGGGACATCTTCGCTGCCCGGGGCCCATTGGTTGGGGGTCTGGGGTCGCCTGGGCCCTAGCGGAATCGAGGGGAAGATCCCTGGTGCCCCTCCCCCGGAAGCTATGGCCTTTTAACGGATTAGAGGACTAATTTAATCGATTATAGAAAAATGCCTATTTCACTATGTATGAAAAATAAAGTATAGGAACATAAAAAGTAAAAGCTATCCTTCCTTTCATTCATTCAAAAATGCTGAAAAGATTCATAGCCTATGTATAAAAGTTTACAGTGGCGGATCCATGAATTTGAAATAGGTGGGGGTAGGGGGCAGAGGATTTCCACCGTCAGATGGACGGTCTACCACCTCAGCCACACCATGGTTGAGGCTGCGGTAAGAAAATTTATCATTATGTCATATGATTATGTCTGTACTGTCGGAAATGGCACCATTAGACTTAAATTTGAGTAGAATTTTATATTTTTCTAATTTTTTATTTTATTTTGAAAGATTTGGTGTGTGGGGGGCCGGGTTCCCCTTAAATCCGTCAATGATTTAATATATTAATTCAATTTTCTAACTTGTATGTATTGACGATGTCCAGGTTTCCAAGCCTTATATAATGATTAATTAATAACATAAAGAATTTACTATTTCATAAAATGTAAACATAAATTCTATGGTATTAGAAGTCATGAAAATATTCATGAAAAATAATTGGAAGCGATTAATTACCAGCTTTCAACGATCAGCTTTATTTACAATTCTCGTGGGAAAAACACATGAATAATACTGGATGAATGTATACCTAGAGGCCGGTCACTCCGGCCCCTCGGTGCCACTGGCCGGTTAAGATGTTTTTGTTTTGTCCTGACTGGTACTGATGGTGTTGCTAATATTGGTGCTCTCGATAGTGTAAATGATGTTTCTACTATATGTGCCCCGTCTGGTGATGATGTTGATACATTTGGTTTTCCTGAAGCAGATGATGTTCCTTCTGGCGTATTCCCGGCTTATGCTGACGATATTGCTACTTGATTGGTGAAGACGATGTTGCTACGTTTAGTGCCCCGGCATACAGATGATGTCGCTGCTGATCGTGGTGCCTATACGTACATTTAAAAGATTGAAAAACTAACAAATAATATATTATTGTAAAATTTAGAGGCATTTTTATTCAATTTATTCTTTACTATGTAAATATTTGTTTTTTGTTTTATTTTTTGTTTTATTATTGTTTATATAATTATTTTAGCCCAACTGTGTGTGATTTTTGTAAAACATGTATTAAAGTAATATAAATCTTGGGTTTTGGAATTAATATAAAACAATTGGACCAACCATCGACAAAGTGACACTGTAATTGACACCTCGCGTACCATACGCGTGACAAATCAATAATTTCAACGTCTGTGTCTCATTGCGTTGCTCTTGAAAGATTTAGGTACAGATTCATCTATTTATTAATACTTTTAAACACGGTGTGATATTTCTGATAGTGAATCTTGTGGTGTAATACTGTAAAATGTTGCAGTCTGTGTCTTAAGTGATGATTACGCCTAATGATGCTAAAAAGTCGATAAAAAGTCTGCTTAAATTATGCATTTGGTAAAACACTTGTATCATCAAAGTCTGGCAGCTGAGCTATTTTTATGATTTAATGACTTGAAATATATTGTTAAGAAACACTCCCCTATGAATCTTATTTTCCTTAAAACCACTTCTCCCCTGATATTTGAAGATTTACTGGTACTATTTGTAATCATGATTTGGCGCGAGTAGGTGCGTGCGGACACTAATACGCAGATAAAAACTTTACAAATAACACTGTAATTAACAAGATTAATAATACAGGCTTATGAAACAATAGTGCAAAGAAGAGACAAATTATTATTAGACTTCAGTTCTTACTTCGTTCGAATGCTACCCTGACAAAATCTAAACAGAACAACAGAAATTTTATTTCCAGTCAGATTCAGGTAGGGACATGTCTTCCTAGTTTTTATGCGATGTTAAGTTGGATAAAATATATGAAAATATGAAGATTTACTATACCGACACATCTTATACATAAATTAATAAGCGCGGCGTTTAATTATCTCATGTTTGACTGATTGTATTCAAATACTGTCCAAACAAGCTCCGCTGTGTTTTCAATGTGTCTTCATTTATATCCGCACTGTTTGTATTATCACTTTATTTATGTACAATTTATGAAAGTGATGAATACATTTGAATTTGATTAGATATTCTGACATTTAACTTCAGGTAATCATACATTTACAATGACTTTATCTTATAGGCCTAATTATCTTTGATGTAAGTTATCAGCTGCAGTAAGCTGTCATAAAGCATTTGCTATTTGTCTCCGAAGTACAGCCAATATAGGCTTGTTACCTTTTAGGCCGTTCGTCCATAATTAATTCCGCGGATTTTAAAAGGCACATTGAATCTAATATTGTATCAGAGCAGATTCCAACGTTCTGTATTCATACCAAATATTTTTAAGGGAACAAATGGTAAACTTAACTTCATGAAATCCCCTACGGATTATTGGTACCACTACACTTCACGTGACACGATATTCTGTCCCAGTCCAATTCTATCGCCGGCATACGGGGTTAGCCCATTGTGAGCTTCACTAATGGAATTGCATCCAGTGTTCTTAGGGATACAAACAACTTCCAGTGTGATATTGTGACATTCGAGTAGTTGATCGAACTGATTAATTCGTGAAAGAAGAAAAACATGGCTGAGCAGTATCCACTAACGATTGATAAAAACTTTAAATGAAAATGTAGCCCTATCCAAACGTGTTTAATATCTTTTTTGTTTTCATCGCAGTTCAATCATATCCGATGTTAATATATTAATAACTATAATGATGATGGTGATGTATGTAACTTTAGGCCTACTTTCATGCAGGGTGCCAACTAATAGCTTGTCTACTGCCAGTCCATGACTTGTAGGTTTACAATCCATTAATTTCAACCATTAATTTCAACCATTTAAATTTATTCGTTTGAAATGTAAGTTTAAACTATGAAATAATATCACAATTTACCGGTAATTAAACATATCATGCATTACCTGACGCAAATACGAGATGTAAACGACTGTTATAAAGATAAGTCATACTTATTATTGAAACGACAAGTGCAAAGTGATGAACCAAATACCTGCAGTGTTTACGTCAAAGAAGAATACAATCGGTATGGTCAACTGATCAATGATGTCACACGACCGATCATTTGGTTTTTATATTCAGAGATCATCTAATCTATCCATATATGACAGATAAGGGATTCCAATATTCATAAAATGCGCATTGCACATCAAATAACAATCATAATTAGCTTGTAGGTCAGGCTTTATTTCATCATCATCATCTTCCGGTATTGTGCATAACCTCATCCTCTATTAGAGTATACTAGCACAACTTGAAACTATTTGAAACTAATTAGTCATCCTTTGATTTTATGCTTAAATTAGCCAAACGTTATTTTAATCTTTACCTCTTATTGAATTTGTGTCAATAGTACTTATAAACATTTTGTAATAAAGATGAGAACAAGACATAGCAAGTTTAAAGTAATCCATGAAATGTAACTTTGGCGAAGCTGTGTCGATGTGGCAAACTTGTTTCTCTGCACACATTCATCATTGAATTAAATTATACGTGTACATGTTCAACTAACCACAAATAAACGAGGAATGTATCTTATTAAAGAGAACCGATCGATTTCAAAAACAAGATGATGTAATCGAACTGTTCATTAATAAACTAC